TTGCTAATCCCCTGCCCCCTCCCTTTCCCTCCCACCCCTCTGCCCTATCTAGAGTTCATCTATTCCTCCCATGTTCCCTTTCAAATGTGGCATATATACACAATGGATTATTACTCAGCAATAAAAGAGAATAAAATCATGGCATTTGCAGGTAAATGGATGCAGCTGGAGAAGATAAGGCTAAGTGAAATTAGCCAACTCCCCAAAAATAAATGGCAAATGTTTTCTCTGAAATAAGGTGAGATACCTTTTTTTATTCTTCTTTTCCCTCTCTATTTTCTATATATGAGAGAATATATTTGACCCTTGACATTCTGAGACTAACTTATTTCACTTAGAACGTTGTTCTTCATCTCCTTCCATTTACTATCAAATGACATAATTTTATTGCTAATGACTGAGTAGAACTCCATTGTGCATATATACCACATTTTTTAAAATCCACCTATTGATGAACACTTAGACTGGTTCTATAACTTGGCTTTTGTGAATTGCACCACTATGAACATTGACAGGCATTTTCTTCTTCTCTGTCTCCTCCAGTTCAGGAAGGTTTTTCCTCAGTGCTACTCATGGTTCTTCACTGTTGTTTAGCAGGATATTATTTTTTGGGGGGGGCTACAGCAACTAACTTTAGTCAGTTGCTAAAAGGTTTCCTCTGATCCCTCCCAGACTTTTCAACACATCCCCCACATCATCATGGATAGGGCCAAGACAGCTGAGCTCTCTTTTGTGGTCCATTCTAGTGGAGCAGGGAGGGCCAGGTGATCAAGAGAATAGGGGCTTGGCAAATAAGAGATGAATTAACGCTGGTGATGGGGGATGGGACATGGAAGTGAACCCAAAGTACTGCACTCACTAGGCGGAGTCTAGTAGGGCTCCATTCTTTCTGCTTTCAATTTCTTTTTCTCTGGAGGCTGGGGAAATTTTTCGAGTCTGTAAGTCATTACTGTTGTCCATTAAATATTTCCCAGACACACAATAGGATTGCAGTAATTTGCTTAAATAGAAGCAGAAGGGTCATCTCCAGGCAGAAGTTTCTAGAACTGAGATGTGACTCATCACTCTCAGGTAGATGGTGCCTGTTCCATCAGTTTGGTCCCAGAGTGAGAATAATGACAAGCACAGCTGCCTACCCACTGGCACTGTCTGGGTACTAGACTGAGAGAGCTTCGCATGTAAAGCTGCTGAGATGTGCACCTGATTGATCTCCACAGCATAACGCCCTCTTCATTGACCAAACCCAGTGACTGAAATGAAGCATCCTCTTTACTAAAATCCTCCTGGTGGGGACTATAGGGAGAATAGCTCCTTATACACGTACAAGCCCTGCTGCAGCTCAAGCCTCCCTGATCTGCATGCTATGGGGCTGTGGGTGGGGAGCCATGATTCCTCAGCCTCATCTGACTTGCTGGAGCCCTTCTTTGCTGGTGAACATCCTTTATGTGGACCACGTAGCATCCTTTCCTGCATCTGCCGAGTTCCAGCCACACTTCCTCTCCCTCTGCTCCACACCGACCTGGAAGGCAGGGTGTCTTCCACTGCATGGGGACAGTACACCTGCAGTAGGAGGGAGCATTGCCAGCACATGCAGAAGCAAGGACAAGAGTCATGGAGAGAGACACCTGCCAGTTTGGTGAGTAAATACATCCCCTCTGGTTCTTAAATTAATCCAAGTTGTTTATCTGACAGTCGTAAGAGAGAAAATTCTTACCAATTGACACCCAGCAATATTAAATATTCCTTCTGAGTGATTCTGTTTCCCTCTGTTCCTTCCTCCCATGCAAATATATGAGTGACCTCTATTTGGTCATGACCTTCCTGGGAAACAAGCATCCAGCTCTGAGAGTCTCAGAGCTATGCCCCCATTCACTCCCCTTAGCCAGAGGTCAGCTGCAGACCCACCTCAACTTCCTGGAGACAGCTGGACCAGAAGTCAGTAAAAAGGCTTCTGAGCAGATAACATGCAGTTCACATCACTGATATTCAATCCTGTGAATATTACTCTGATGATCATCTATTCACAAAACCTCAGAGTTAATTTCCTTTCACTGTACAATTATAACACTTTCCCAATCTTCTTTCACCTTAGAATAGAAGTAGAAAATGAGGAAGAGTGAGGGACACGGTGTTTTTGGTCTTATTGTCAGGAAATGCCATTTGATAGTCCATTCAAAGAGAAATCTGAAAAATGGCAGGCAAAATGCCTGAAGCCTGGGGCCATAAAGAGTCAGGAAAAGCGGTATTTCACACAAGTGGGCCCCCGCACATCAGCACACCCCACTGCCTTCACAGTCCCGCACAGGCAGACTCCGCTAATGGTGACCCTAAGTCAATGTAGTGTTAAAGCACATTTGGGATTGCTGGTTTATTAAGGCAGGGAGCTATTTAATTAACTTGGAAAATACTAAATATAATTAATTTTGTTTCAAATGCTTGACATTCAAAATGATAAAGCCCGGTTTTTCAAGGAAGTTTTGTTTATGCAGAGTGGCCCTGCCTCCGATGGTGTTGGGTTGATGAGGTGTTCTATATTGTTTACCAATGTAAATAATGCGCAGTATGGATATGTTTATTTTATTTGTATTCACACTCTTTAGTATGAGATAACATTTGTGAAAGCATTTTGTAAACAGTAAGACACAATGCAAATATACTTTATCATCATGCTCCCTGGAAGTCCTGTATGCCATTGATACCCATTGGGTCCTTTCTTCCTTGGAGTCCCTAGGTGAGCCATTCTCAAAGTTTAGTGTGCATAAAACTCCTCTGAGAAACTTTTAAAAG